TGACGTCCTGGAAGACCGCCAGTTCGAGCTTGCTTTCCTGTCCGAGGCTGCTCCCCATCTCTGTTCCATGCTGCTAGTCCCTGAGGGTGACCCAGACGCTTTCGATATCCCGACCCCTCGCACTTATGCTGAGGCGACCTCGGGACCTTGGGCCTCGCAGTGGATAGCTGCCATGGAGTAGGAGATGGCATCTTGGAGATCCACCGGTACCTTCGTCTACACAGTTCCCCCGCCTGGGGTGAACGTAGTCGATGGCCACTGGCTCTTCAAGGTGAAGCGCCCTCCTGGAGAGCCGCCTGTGTTCAAGGCGCGCTACGTGGCTAGAGGCTTCAGTCAGCGTGAGGGGGTGGATTTCTTCCAGACCTTCGCTCCGACCCCGAAGATGACTACTCTTCGGGTTCTGTTACACCTAGCTGCTCAGCGTGACTACGAGCTTCACTCCCTCGACTTCTCCACTGCCTCCTTCAGGGCAGCCTATACGAGCAGGTCTACTTGCGTCGCCCTCAGGGCTTTACTGGCACCTTCCCTCCTGGGACCCAGTGGCTCCTGCGGCGCCCCGTTTACGGCCTTCGTCAGGCTCCCCGTGAGTGGCACGACATGCTGGGTGCTACGCTAGCTGACTTGCAGTTCTTTCCATCCTCCGCAGACCCCTCACTCTTCGTTCGTGCTGGCCAAGACTCCGTTCTACATCTTTGTTTACGTAGACGACCTGGTCTTCGCCATTGCCGATAGGGACGCCCTGGCCTCGGTGAAGGTAGAGCTGCTGAAGAGACACACTTGCACTGACCTTGGAGAATTGCGCCGTTACCTTGGTTTGCAGATCTCCAGGGATAGAGCAGCGCGCGCCATCACTTTGACTCAGTCACACTTGGTGCGACAGGTCCTTCAGAGGTTCGGCCTTCAGTTCTCCTCCGCACAGCCCACCCCTCTACCTGTAGACCACAGACTCTTCGCTCCAGTTCCTGAGGAGTCAGCAGAGCCCAGTGGTCCTTACGCAGAGCTGGTGGGTTGCCTCATGTACCTGATGACTTGCACTCGCCCAGATCTCGCATACCCTTTCAGCATAGTGGCTCGCTTTGTGGCCACAGGCAGACACCGACCGCAGCACTGGTCTGTCGCTAAGAGGGTTTTGCGTTATCTTGCTAGTACATCAGGCATGGGGTTAGTGCTAGGAGGACGCAGGTCAGTGGTCCTTACTGGACACACAGACGCGTCTTGGGCAGACGACGCCGAGACACTCAGGTCTTCCCAGGGCTATTACTTCAGCCTTGGTTCAGGTGTCGTCTCGTGGAGAGCTACCCGCTCCTCCTCTGTTGCCCAGTCCAACTGTGAGGCCGAGATCTACGCCGGTGCCATGGCGGCACAGGAGCTCCGCTGGCTGACCTTCTTGCTATTTGACTAAGGTGAGCGGCCTAGCTCTGCCCCGGTCCTGTACGCTGACAACAGGGCCATGATTCTCCTGTGTCAGCAGCCTTGACTTGAGGGCAGAGCGAAGCATATCCAGCTGCGGTACATCCTCCTGCGCGAGCTACAGCAACGCTGCCAGGCTCGCGTAGTACACTTGGCCTCAGGTGCCAACACAGCTGATATCTTTATGAAGGCGCTCGCGCCTAAAGATCATCAGCGGCACTGTGTACAGCTTGGTCTAGTTCCTGTAGCCTCTTACTTGCTAGGGCCGGCTGCCCCTCCCCAGGCGTCCCCTCCTCCACCGCCTCTGCCGCCGCTGTCGCCCCTGCTGTTGCAGCCATTGTCACCTCCGCCGGCGCCGCCGCCGTCGTTGTTGCTGCCGCCGCCGCCGCCGTCGCAGCACCCGTTCGTTGACTCTGGGGGTGCTGGCGTTGGAGTGCGTGCTAGTCCCGGTACCCCTAGGGGTGGTACCACTCCTCGAGGAGTTTCAGGCCCTAGAGGTGTTCCCTCTGGGGGTGCTGGTATGGAGTGTGCCGGTGGTAGCCGAGGAGCAGCTTGCGGTCTCGGTGTCGGCGTTGTGCCGCCGCAGCAGCAGTCCCCGCCGGTGTCAGCCCTTCGCCTGCTCGGCCTTCTGTCCCCTGACCCTGCGTCTGTTCCTCTCCGGCCGTCTCCTCCTCTTCCCGTCTACGGCCGTCTGTTCCCTCCGCCGGACTCGTCCCCGGCTCGTCTTCCCCCTCGTTCTCCCCCAGTGTCCCCTCCCCTGTCTCCTGACCCGACTCCTCCGTCTCACGTCTGGTCTCACCGTCCCTCCCGTGCTCGTCATGCCTCCCCTGTCTTGCGCTCCCACCCTATGTTGCTTCATTCCCACGCGTCTCGTCCTCCCCTTCTCCCGTCGCCTCCTCTGTCCTCCCTTGTTGTTGCACCCCCCCCTCTGTCTGACTACCTTCGTGCCGCTCGTCCTCTTGTTCCTCGGGTCCTTGCCTCTCTCGTTACCGATCCGTCTGTTTCGGTCTCGTGCCTTGACGCTCTGGTAGCTGCGGTCGCTGACTTCGCCTCTACCCGCCGCCTTGACTGCGCCACCGCTCTGGTCTCTGACCCTGCCTATCCTCCGTCTGTTGAGGGTGCTCGTGCCCTCGGCAGTGACGTCCTGGAAGACCGCCATTTCGAGCTTGCTTTCCTGTCCGAGGCTGCTCCCCATCTCTGTTCCATGCTGCTAGTCCCTGAGGGTGACCCAGACGCTTTCGATATCCCGACCCCTCGCACTTACGCTGAGGCGACCTCGGGACCTTGGGCCTCGCAGTGGATAGCTGCCATGGAGTAGGAGATGGCATCTTGGAGATCCACCGGTACCTTCGTCGATGCAGTTCCCCCGCCTGGGGTGAACGTAGTCGATGGCCACTGGCTCTTCAAGGTGAAGCGCCCTCCTGGAGAGCCGCCTGTGTTCAAGGCGCGCTACGTGGCTAGAAACTTCAGTCAGCGTGAGGGGGTGGATTTCTTCCAGACCTTCGCTCCGACCCCGAAGATGACTACTCTTCGGGTTCTGTTACACCTAGCTGCTCAGCGTGACTACGAGCTTCACTCCCTCAACTTCTCCACTGCCTTCCTTCAGGGCAGCCTACACGAGCAGGTCTACTTGCGTCGCCCTCAGGGCTTTACTGGCACCTTCCCTCCTGGGACCCAGGGGCTCCTGCGGCGCCCTGTTTACGGCCTTTGTCAGGCTCCCCGTGAGTGGCACGACACGCTGCGTGCTACCCTTGCTGACCTGCAGTTCTTTCCGTGTTCCGCAGACCCCTCACTCTTCGTTCGTGCTGGCCAGACTCCGTTCTACATCCTTTTTTACGTCGACGACCTGGTCTTTGCCACAGCAGACAGGGACGCACTGGCCTCAGTGAAGGCAGAGCTGCTGAAGAGACACACATGCACTGACCTTGGAGAATTGCACCGTTACCTTGGCTTGCAGATCTCCAGGGACAGAGCAGCGCGCACCATCACCTTGACTCAGTCACACTTGGTGCGCCAGGTCCTTCAGAGGTTCGGCCTTTAGTTCTCCTCTGCACAGCCCACCCCTCTGCCTGTAGACCACAGACTCTCTGCTCCAGTTTCTGAGGAGTCGGTAGAGCCCAGCGGCCCCTACACTGAGCTGGTGGGTTGCCTCATGTACCTGATGACTTGCACTGGCCCAGATCTCGCATACCCTCTCAGCATAGTGACTCGCTTTGTGGCCACAGGCAGACACCGACCGCAGCACTGGTCTGTCGCTAAGAGGGTTTTGCGTTATCTTGCTAGTACATCAGGCATGGGGTTAGTGCTAGGAGGACGCAGGCCAGTGGTCCTTACTGGACACACAGATGCTTCTTGGGCAGACGACGCCGAGACACTCAGGTCTACCCAGGGCTACTGCTTCAGCCTTGGTTCAGGTGCCGTCTCGTGGAGAGCTACCCGCTCCTCGTCTGTTGCCCAGTCCAGCTGTGAGGCCGAGATCTATGCTGGTGCCATGGCGGCACAGGAGCTCCGCTGGCTGACCTTTTTGCTCACTGACTTAGGTGAGCGGCCTAGCTCTGCCCCGGTCCTGTTCGCTGACAACAGGGCCATGATCCTCCTGTGTCAGGAGCCTCGACTCGAGGGCTGAGGGAAGCATATTCAGCTGCGGTACTTCCTCCTGCGCGAGCTACAGCAGCGACGCCAGGCTCGCGTAGTACACTTGGTCTCAGGTGCCAACGCAGCTGATATCTTTCCGAAGGCGCTCGCGCCTAAAGATCATCAGCGGCACTGTGTACAGCTTGGTCTAGTTCCTGTAGCCTCTCACTTGTTAGGGCCTTGACTTTGTACTGTCCTTTATATGTGTACTCAGACTGGACTTGTGTCCTCTCCCAGTGGCTGGACTAGTAGTGCTGCCCTGGTCTTGTTCTTGCCTTGTTTGTACTCCTTTTGACTGGTCGTTTAGACCCTTGTCTCAGAGGCTGGACTAGTAGTGCCGCCCTGAGCTGCTTGTTCAGGACCTGCCCCTATATAGTCTAGGGGGTGTGTCAAACATATGTATCTCCTATGTTTGCATAGACTGTATAGGGCCACCTCTTAGAGGGTACAACACTTAGGTATATTCACCTGTACTCTCTCTCTACTCATCATTCAGTTCTCACTTTGATAGTAAGTAGTCGGCGGTCATTCCATTGGTCAAATGGTAGACCTATCGCGTTCTTCCCTTGTTGATGACGAATTTTGGCTTTGACGAAGTGCGTGTAGATCCTCCTTTCCCCCCTCACTTCGGCAGAGAAAAAATGAGTCGGGTTGAAAGTGGTTGGGGTTGCGCCAATGAATGTGGCAAGGCCGAAGGGGACGAATGCAAAACCACGAGAGTGTTGCACGTGGTGGAGAGGAGCCTCGATTTCAGTTGAAGGCTTGACAAAGAACCGTAAAGTGACGGGCAGATCTGATGGTGCAGTTGCGGGCAGGGAAATATGTTTCGTCAGCAGCGCATGCAGCTGCTCACGTAGCTTGTGTAGGGTAGTGTTCAACCCTTCTGCTTCATTGCTTTGTTGAACGCGATGACGAGGGGTTTGGTAGCAGTTGATGCCCATGCCTTGCTCGTAGTCGTTGGAGGTCGTAGTGTGGTAATCAGCTTCTCTGTAGTGTAGGAAAATTTGCACCGGGGTACTGAGCTCGCTTGCTGCTATGGCCAGCCAAGCAAGGAGTAAGATTGGTAGTTGAAGAATTGTCATAAGTCTTCTCGAGAGTTGTTGTAGCGTCGAAGAATTTTTCAGGAGCGAGTTGCAGTGTTTCCTCGTGTTCTTGACTAATATCTTCCTTGATATTAACGGCAGGTGTGTCGGCAAGGATGTCGGTGGTGCTGCTACTCGGATTTTCTTCTTCGCTGCTGCTGAGTTCAATCGGTGGAATGGTCACCAAAGCGGCGGCTGCGATGATGGATGGAGCTTGAAGAAGAGCGGCATCTTCAGAAGATTTTGCTGCCTTGAAGCGTAAAACGAATACGCCATTTTTTGTTGCTGCTCTTCCGATGTACGTGTTGTCCGCATCATGTATTAACTCTTGCTCTTGTGTCGTGCAGTTTCCGACCGTGCGGATTTTCTTCTTCAAGAGTTGATTAGTTGCCACTAAATTGAAGCCAAGATTGTTGATGAGTAAAACATTGGTACTGTAAGTCGTAAGGAATTTCATGTATCGATTGATGTCAAAAGTAGACTGCCGATATTTTCTGCTGCAATTGTTTGACCGTTGGCGAGTGTGATTGGGCAGGGTTGAAGAAGTCGACGACGGTTGTAGATGAAAGGATTTGTTGAAGAGACCATGTGGTGGCCACAACAACTATCCAAGTACCAAGTATCGGTATCTGAACTGCAATGAAACATGTGAGTGGATGCAGTCGGTAAGCAAAATTTTGACGTTACCGTTTTGTTGGTAGAGTTTGAATTAGTGGCTGTTGGCTTTGATGAGTTGCTTGGAGGGGCAGAACTGAGTGTCGTTGGTGGTGTTGATATTGCATATGTTGCTTTTGGAGGCGCATGTTGCTAAAAAGACTGCTTCGAAGGCTGACGTAACGGCTGGGATGATTTTGACTGCTGCAGTTCTTTAGGAGGTAAATACCTCTTCTTAAAGTAGCACCGGTCAGTAGAATGTCCTCCCTTGTTGCAATTGTGACAAAAATATTGAGGACGTCGTGTTGGTGTTGAATAGAAACTGAGTTGTATATCTCCCTGTTTGTTGCGTTGTGACTGCATGTCAAGATCTTGCTGTTCCGCTTGAAGATACGACGAAATTTCAGCTTCAAAGAGGTTCGGGTTCATGCGCAGAAAAGCGCGTGTCTGTCGCCATTCGGGTCCAAGGCCACCAAGAAGGACTGTGAGATACATCTCACGAGGGAAAGTGGTAAATGAAGTTTTGCTGTTCACTTTTACTAGACTTCCGCTGTCAGGAAGGCTCATTCCACTGAACGCTGAAGATATTGATTGCGTTGAGAACGGTGGTTGCGCTGTTGCTTGTTGCTGTATAGACGATTGTTGTTGTACTGATGCTTGGTGTTTTGCTGTAGGGGCAGTTGATGACATCCCTGGAGTATTGGCAAAAGGCGGATTCTGCTGCTGCATACCAATATGCGCATAAGCCGGTGGGAATGGTCCAGAGGCTGAGAGACCAGTGGCGGTCGTGGAGACATGTACTCCAGTAGTTCCGGAAGTTGATCCGGCAGACGGTGCTGGTGATGAACCAGTCATTGTTGACAGTAGTCTTAATTCCAGATAGCTCTCATACCATGTTATATTTCTACAGGTGTTCCAGAAGACTAAGTATAAAATCTGCAAACACGAACATTTGGAAAACCTCATGTGTTAACCTACGATCTTTACTGGAATGGTAGACTAGTAAGACAGCGGAAGTCTAGTAAAAGTGAACCTCAGTATATGTTTCTGCAGAAGTTAAGTCTCAAAGTTCTCAAGGTTGAAATCTCAAAGTTAATAATATAAGGACAGAACAAAGATTTTATAGCTCTAGGAAAAGTACCTATTCGCTAATGTACCTGTTCGTCACTATCGCGCTATGCGCCCTAGATGATAATGAAAATGTGCGACTGTTCGCGTGACTGAAACGACTATCCTATGACGAGCGCTATTTGCTGACGTCATCCTACGGACTTATCTTGTACAATGAGTTTTGACACTATCTGTCGATAAACAACTTACATAAATGCTAAGTATGAATTGTGAAAGCTTGCTTAGGTCCTCTTGAAAGGAAGCGTGCTTCATTTCATATGGGTGACATACATTGGTTCTCGTCCAATAAACTACTCAACACATAGCTAGGGTGGGTGGGCGGGGAAACTCAAATGAGTTGAACTAGAAATGAAGAACGTGGGTGAGGCCGAGAGGCCTCACGTTCCTCTTTTGAATGCAAAAGAGGGTTAGGTGCGCTTCGCCGCTGCCTTTGCTGCGTTGGCTCTTGCTACACTATCACAATACACATTTTTAGAAAGCGCTACACGCTTTCAAAAAATTACATATCGTGAAAGCTTGCTTAGGTCCTCTTGAAAGGCAGCATGCTTCATTTCATATGGGTCTTCTGAGGCATGTGGAGGACAGGTCGGCGTTGCCGCTCGATGGACAGCTGGTGGTTGTTGGGCGATGGTGCTGCAGATGGATCTTAAAGCTGCGTGGAGGCTGCAAGAAGGTGGTCTTGCGCGATAGTGACGTATAGCTCCTTCGCACTGTCGCTGCGCCATCGGCCTAGACGCTTGAAAAGCCTGCCAGGTATCCCTAGGCTGGCCGCTACGGTCGCGGCGCCCTTACGGAACGAGTGGGTGCCGAGATTGGTGGGGTCGAGGCTTGCTGCGGCAAAGTCTTCCAGACACCAATTCCGAATGGTTGTGTATGAAGGTGCGGCGTCCCGTGGGGTGGCCTTGCCTCTGGTCGCGAAGACGCGAATCAGAGGCCCGTGTGGGGTGGCGGTGTGGCCTGCAAGGTGAATGAAGCGCCGCGTGCAGCTGACGGGGCAATAGGGTGTGGTTGTGGCGGCAATGGGGACCCAGGTGCCTTTGCCTTCCTGATCCGTCTTGGAGTGTGGGATCAGGACCCACATTCCCTTGTCCTCAAACTGTATGTCATTCCACTGGATGCTGACGAGGTCCGAGTAGCGTAGGAATGCTGCGAACATGAGCAGCGGAATGAGACCCTTCTGGTATGTGGCTGGGTTAGTTGATTCGAGGAAGGGACGGGCCATAGTATGGACTTGGTGGAGCGACAAGGGTTCCTTATTCCTTGCAGGGCGTGCCCCATGGCGCTTGGCAAAATCGCATACTTGTACCGTGAAAGGGCCGTTCGTGGGGGAGGGTTCGCCAGTCATCCGGTGTGCGAAAGAGATGGCAGAGCATGTGAGGGATATAGCAGAGGCGGTTGCTTGGTGATTGAGCGTGTGAACAAGATAGAGCGCCAGGGTCGTGTCCGTGGCTGGCAAATAGCCGAGCTTGAATTGCGCACAGAATGAGCGAAATTTCTGCCAGTACGGGTCATAGGTCTTGATAGTGGAGGGCGCCCGGACGTGGGTGGTTATGCGCAGTAATTGTGTCTTAAACTTCGACAGCATGCCTGAAAATATACACCATACATGGAGGAGTTATATCTTGTAGGTTACATGCAAGGCAATAATCTGGCTATGAGGCAGGCCTTGGCCGGCGAAAGCGAGCGAGTGTGTGCCAGGGCGGAGACATTGGGTGCCATGGGTGAGTGGGATATGGGCTACTATCTCCGGCGCCCACACACGGGGTGCTAGCTGGAGGAGTGGCCACCATGATGCGCCGGGCCATTCGGGGATGACCAATGTTAGCTCAGCGCGTGTGCGTTGGGCGTGTCGCAGGGTGGCTGGAATGAGGTGGGGCGGGTGAAATGCGAAGCCGTACTCGTGCTGACAATTGAGTGAGAAAGTGTCAATTGCTGTTGCCTCAGGATGGGGGATTTTGGAACAGAAACGCTGCAGCTGGGCATTGCGTATGTTGGCAAAAAGATCGATGGACTGAGGTCCAAGTCGACGATCCAAGAGCCGGAACCAAGGGGTTTGAAGAGAGTAGTCGTCGCAGTCTTGGACTTTTGAGAGCTCATCCGCGTGGGCATTCAATTCTCTCGGAATCCATTCGACAGCGAGTCGTGTCCGGTTTTCCAAGCACAGTCTGATGATCGCTTGACATAGCAGCGTGAGTAAGGGATGGCGTGAGCCGCCCTTATGAAGGATGAACATCACCCCTTGGTTGTCGACGCGAACCAGCACGTGACGCTTGACGAGGTGGGTGGTGAATGTCCGGAGTGCCCAAAGGACGCCTACGAGTTCCCTTCGAGTGCTGGAGGTGGGCACGAGCTCTTTTGGCATGCGATCACTGGCCTAGATGTGCGTGCCAGGCAGTTGAGTGAGGGTGGCACCCCAGCTGTGGGCACTTGCATCAACGTGGATGACAGCGTCGTATTGGTGACTAAGATGGAATGGGGCGCCGTTGAATTGGTCGAAGTGCGAAAGCCAGAAGCGTAGCTCTGTTAATGCGGGCGGAGGTCGTTTGACTTTGTCATGCCAAGACGTGGCGTCGGCGATGAGTTGCAGGAGCTCATGACTGAAGGCTCGTGCTGTGGCGCCCAATGCTAGGGTCATGGAGGCCAACATGCCAGTGACTCACGCAAGGGAGCGGATGGGGACTCGTCGTCCTGCTTGGCCCTAGGCGATGATGTTGTTGAGTGTGGCTAAGAGCTGAGCTCGTCGTTCGTCACCGATAGAGAATTTGCCGCGAACTGCGTCGACCTCCAGGCCGAGGAAGTGGATCAAGCGTGTGGGGTGGAGATGCGATTTTTTCTCGTTGATAACAAAACCAGCCGCCTTTAGGTCTTGGGTAACTGCGGCGCATGCTGAGCGCGCGTATGTATGAGATTTGCAAAGGAATAGAAGGTCGTCGACGTACGGGACGATGCGTAGGCCACTGGCCCTCCACCGCTTTGCCAACTGTTTGATTAGCTGGGTGAAAACGAACGGGGCGGTGGCGAGACCAAACGGCAGCGAGCGGAAGGAGTAGTACGCGCCCTCAAATTGGAAGCCCAAGTACTTCCAGGAGGAGGGGTGCATCTCGACGTGGTGATAGCCGGACCTCAGGTCGATGGAGAACATCCAGTCGCCGGGACGGATGAGTTCGGCTACCCGGTTCAAGCCTTCATACTTGAACTTTGGAATTTCGAGGTGGGCGTTGACTTTGCGAAGGTCGAGAATGAGGCGACATTTGTTATGCTGCTCGACGATGTTCAAAGGACTAACGCAGGTCAGCGTATCTCGCGTGGGGACAGGCACGGCAGAGCCAGTGGCAACAAGTTCTTGCATTGCTTCGCGAGTGAAGTCAAGGTGCGTGTGAACGCCAGCATGGTTCTTGTCGTCGAAGAGGGGCGGGGCTGTGTGCTTCCAGGGCAGCCAATAGCCTTTGGCGATTTTAGATATTATGAAACACCACGAGCACCACCAATGCAGGGCCTGGCGCAGTCGGCTTCGCATGATCGTGACGTCCTTGTCCATGACGGCGTACGTAGGGGTCGTGTCGGTCGAGTGGCCATCCGTGTTCGGGTCCTGCAGCGTTTCGGATCGAGAGGGGAGAGGGCATTGCAATAAGGTGTTGGTGCCGAATCGGGGAGCCCATGATCGTGTATTGCCTACCACATGGCTAGGCCAGCGCCTTATCTTGGGAGGCGCTTCCGCGTGTCCTTTCCGATGTGCGTGGTTTCCTCCTCGTGCTCTTTTTCCCTCTCCATCTTACCCCTTCCCTCTCTTTCTCACTCTTTCTCTTGCACACACACTAGCTCTCTTTTTCTTTCTCTCTCCCTCTTTCTCTCTCTCTTTCTCCCTCTCTCTCTCTCTCTCTCTCACTCTCTCTCTCTCTTTCTCTCTCTCTCTCACTCTCTCTCTCTCTTTCTCTCTCTCTCTCTCTCTCTCTCTCTCTCTCTCTCTCTCTCTCTCTCTCTCTCTCTCTCTCTCTCTCTTTCTCTCTCTCTCCCTCTTTGTGTTTCTCTCTCTCTCTCTCTCTCTCTCTCTCTCTCTCTCTCTCTCTCTCTCTCTCTCTCTCTCTCTCTCTCTCTCTCTCTCCCTCTCTCTCTCTCTCTCCCTCTCTCTCTCTCTCTCCCTCTCTCTCTCTCTCTCTCTCTCTCTCTCTCTCTCTCTCTCTCTCTCTCTCTCTCTCTCTCTCTCTCTCTCTCTCGCTCCCTCTCTCTCCTTCTCCATTCTTTCGCAGCTCCTTATTTCTTGCCCTCATGATTTTGTGCCATGTCCTTGGTGGGCTTGATCGTGGCTGCCCGTTTTCTTGGGTGGCATACGTGGCATGTTTGTGGGTCCCCGCTACTCCGCTCTTTCGTACTCTCCCTCCTCTTTTTTTTTTCTTTTTTTTTGCTTCCTTACATGCATTATGGCGGCTGCTCGATGTGTTCTCATGTGGCTTGGCTTTCCAGCCCCCTTGTCAAGCGTACTCGGGTTTTTTTTTTTTTTTTTTTTTTTTTTTTTTTTTTCAACTAGAAATCAACTTGCCGTGGCGACACACAAACACAATTACATGGTTCTACCATGGTCCTAGGCATACGGCCTACGCATCCCCTAGGGCAGTCCTAGCCCGCTGGGTTTCCTTGCCTTGCTCAAAGGCTGGCCACCGGCCACGCACCCACCGGTGCGGCCCCATATGCCACTTGCATATAAGCAAAGGGCGCCGCACTTGAAGAAGAAGAAGAAGAAGAAGAAGAAGAAGAAGAAGAAGAAGAAGAAGAAGAAGAAGAAGAAGAAGAAGAAGAAGAAGAAGAAGAAGAAGAAGAAGAAGAAGAAGAAGAAGAAGAAGAAGAAGAAGAAGAAGAAGAAGAAGAAGAAGAAGAAGAAGAAGAAGAAGAAGAAGAAGAAAAAAAAACGCTCATACGACCGGTGAGGGGCCTTGCGCGCCACGCCCTCCCATGGGGCATGCGTTTGCCATGTGGCCCGGCTGGCCACAGCGGAAGCATACGCCCTTGAAACGCGGCTGCGAGCATGTGAGGGGGGGAGAGCCCTTGATGTCCATTTCCCCGTCACGACCGCGTGGGGGACCGCCGCGGGTGTAGCCGGTGCGCACACGCTTGAGTGCCGCGACATCAGCGACCGCGAGCTTGAAGGAGCGTGAGGTCAAGACACTCTTGGACTGGTAGAGCTGAAAGCGGTCGGCCGCTTCGAAGCCGGCTTCGTCCGCCACTTGAAGCACCTCGAAACGCTTGTCGATAAGCATCTCGATGTGCTTGACATTGTTGAGCGCACCGATGACGTCGTCGTGCTGCAGCTTGTAATCGATGTGCTTGAGGTGTGCTTGGATGGCAGTGAATACCTCTGCCTGATCACGTACGCCCTTGCGCACGAAGGTGGTTGGGGTGGGCGTAGGGGCGAGGGGGGGAAGAGGTGGTGCGGAAGCAATAATGCGGTGGCGAGCAATGTTTACCGGAGCCTCACCATCTTCATTGTCGGAGTCGTCGCTGTCTTCGATGTCGATGGCGGGCGTCGGGAGCGTCTCTGGAGGCTGGTCGTCGATGCGCGGGGCCTTTGGGGCGCGATGAGGCATTGCCATTTCTTTTTTCTTAGCCAAGTTAGTCGTAACAGCGTTGATATTGTCGGAAGAAGTGGCGAGCGTAACAGGCGCCTGCTCCTGTAACAGCGCGAAAAGCGCCTGGAGCTACTGCGCAATCAAAGTGGGGGCGGCGGCGGGTGGGGCGAGCTCCTCGGCAGGCACGTGCCGAACGGTGGGGCCTGCCTAGGTGGCGGGCGGCGCGGCGCGGCTCGGCGTGTGGACCTCGGTTGACTGCACAAGCGGCTGCTTGGCAGTAGCGCGTGTTTCTTCTGGGGTGGCGTGAGTTGCGCCGAGCAGAACATCGACACCCGAGGTCCCCTCGCCAAAATTGTCCTCAGCAGGGCGTTTTTGGCGACGGTCGGATACCCGGTGCGAAGTTCCGGGATCACCGATATTTGCGGGGGTGTTTGTGTCAAGATTATATATGTTATATAACTGATAGGCTTGATAGTTGTTACTGAACCTTTTTGTAGAGGGTACAATCCCCTCCTTGTACTCTTCTCTCTTCCTAATCGACAACTTCTCTCTCGACACTCTCGCCTACCTTCTAGCTAAACCCCGCCGCCATTTTCATGGCGGTCTTCTTAGCTTCCTAGTGGCTGCCTACCTACGTTCCTTCATCCTAGCTACCTAGCTAATGTCCTAAGCTTCTTTGATAGTTCGCCTCGCGAGTTGGTGAAGAATTGGCGGGAGTCATTGCCGATAGGTTATGCTACAAAATGTCGGTTAGTAATGTCGATGGTGCCCTGAAGCGTGGAAGTGACTGAGTTTTCACCAGGTTGGACGAGAACAAAAAACAAGAACTAGGTCTTAGAACTGAAGATTTTTTTTTGAATAGAGAGAGAGTACAAGGGTATATACCTAAGAGTGTTCTACCCTCTAAGAAGCGACCCTATACAGTCTATACAAACATGAGTTATACTTATGTTTGACACACCCCCTAGACTGCATAGGGGAATGACCGGAACAAGCAGCTCAGTGCGGCACTACTAGTCCAACCTCTGAGACAAGGGTCTAAAAGACCAGTCAAAAGGAGTACAAACAAGGCAAGAACAAGACCAGGGCGGCACTACTAGTCCAGCCACTGGGAGAGGACACAAGTCCAGTCTGAGTATGCATATAAAGGACAGTACAAAGTCAAGGCCCTAGCAAGTGAGAGGCTACAGGAACTAGACCAAGCTGTACACAGTGCCGCTGATGATCTTTAGGCGCAAGCGCCTTCGTAAAGATATCAGCTGTGTTGGCACCTGAGGCCAAGAGTACTACGCGAGCCTGGCGTCGCTGCTGTAGCTCGCGCAGGAGGAAGTACCGCAGCTGAATGTGCTTCGCTCTGCCCTCGAGTCGAGGCTCCTGACACAGGAGGATCATGGCCCTGTTGTCAGCGAACAGGACCGGGGCAGAGCTAGGCCGCTCACCTAAGTCAGTGAGCAAGAAGGTCAGCCAGCGGAGCTCCTGTGCCGCCATGGCACCAGCGTAGATCTCAGCCTCACAGCTGGACTGGGCAACAGATGAGGAGCGGGTAGCTCTCCACGAGACGGCACCTGAGCCAAGGCTGAAGCAGTAGCCCTGGGTAGACCTGAGTGTCTCGGCATCGTCTGCCCACGAAGCGTCTGTGTGTCCAGTAAGGACCACTGGCCTGCGTCCTCCTAGCACTAACCCCATGCCCGATGTACTAGCAAGATAACGCAAAACCCTCTTAGCGGCAGACCAGTGCTGCGGTCGGTGTCTGCCTGTGGCCACAAAGCGAGCCAGGATGCTGAGAGGGTACGCGAGATCTGGGCGAGTGCAAGTCATCAGGTACATGAGGCAACCCACCAGCTCTGCGTAGGGGCCGCTGGGCTCTACCGACTCCTCAGACACTGGAGCAGAGAGTCTGTGGTCTACAGGCAGAGGGGTGGGCTGTGCAGAGGAGAACTGAAGGCTGAACCTCTGAAGGACCTGGCGCACCAAGTGTGACTGAGTCAGGGTGATGGTGCGCGCTGCTCTGTCCCTGGAGATCTGCAAGCCAAGGTAACGGCGCAGTTCTCCAAGGTTAGTGCACGTGTGTCTCTTCAGCAGCTCTGCCTTCACGGAGGCTAGTGCGTCCCTGTCTGCTATGGCAAAGACCAGGTCGTCGACGTAAACAAGGATGTAGAACGGAGTCTGGCCAGCACGAACGAAGAGTGAGGGGTCTGCGCAAGCCGGAAAGAACTGCAGGTCAGCACGCGTAGCACGGAGAGTGTCGTGCCACTCACGGGGAGCCTGGCGCAGGCCGTAGACAGGGCGCCGCAGGAGCCACTGGGTCCCAGGAGGGAAGGTGCCAGTAAAGCCCTGAGGGCGACGCAAGTAGACCTGCTCGTGTAGGCTGCCCTGAAGGAAGGGAGTGGAGAATTCGAGGGAGTGAAGCTCGTAGTCACGCTGAGCAGCTAGGTGTAACAGAACCCGAAGAGTAGTCATCTTCGGGGTCGGAGCGAAGGTCTGGAAGAAGTCCACCCCCTCACGCTGACTGAAGCCTCTAGCCACGTAGCGCGCCTTGAACACAGGCGGCTCTCCAGGAGGGCGCTTCACCTTGAAGAGCCAGCGGCCATCGACTACGTTCACCCCAGGCGGGGGAACTGCGTCGACGAAGGTGCCGGTGGATCTCCAAGATGCCATCTCCTGCTCCATGGCAGCTATCCACTGAGAGGCCCAAGGTCCCGAGGTCGCCTCAGCGGAAGTGCGAGGGGCCGGGATGTCGAAAGCGTCTGGGTCACCCTCAGGGACTAGCAGCATGGAACAGAGATGGGGAGCAGCCTCGGAGAGGAAAGCAAGCTTGAACTGGCGGTCCTCCATGACGTCACTGCCAAGGGCAGGAGCACCCCCGACAGACGGAGGACAGGCAGGGTCAGAGACCAGAGCGATGGCGTAGTCAAGGCGGCGGGTAGAGGCGAAGTCAGCGACCGCAGCAACAAGAGCGTCAAGGCACAAGACCGGAACAGACGGGTCGGTAACGAGAGAGGCAAGGACCCGAGGAACAAGAGGACGAGCGGCACGGAGGTAGTCAGACAGCGGGGGGGGTGCAACAACAAGGGAGGACGGAGGAGGCGACGGGAGAAGGGGAGGACGAGACGCGTGGGAACGAAGCAACATAGGGTGGGAGCGCAAGACAGGCGAGGCAGGACGAGCACGGGAGGGACGGTGAGACCAGACGTGCGACGGAGGAGTCGGGTCAGGAGACAGGGGAGGGGACACAGGAGGGGAACGAGGAGGAAGACGGGCCGGGGACAAGTCTGGCGGAGGGAACACAGGGCCGTAGACGGGAAGAGGAGGAGACGGTCGGGGAGGAACACCCGCAGGGTCAGGGGACGGAAGGCCGAGCAGGCGAAGGGCTGACACCGGCGGGGACTGCTGCTGCGGCGGCACAACGGCGACAACGGAACTGCAAGCGGCTCCGCGGCTACCACCAGCACACTCCACACCAGCACCCCCAGAGGATCCACCCCCAGGGCTACAGGGACTAGCACCCCCAGAGTCAACGAACGGGTGCTGCGATGGCGGCGGCGGCAGCGACAACGACGGCTGCAGCGGCGGCAGAGGCGGTGGAGGAGGGGACTGGGGAGGGGACGCCGGGGGAGGGGCGGCCGGCGAGGAGTGCGCAGCAGGGCCACCAGAGTCAGAAGACTCCTCAACCGGGTCCACCGACGGAAGGGGGGTGACGTGGGACACACCAGAGGGGGCAGGATGGGGAGGAGGAGGGGGAGGGGCAGGGACTACCAAGGAAGGAGTGACCAGGAACAGGGGGGGGGTAACCGGGGGACCGCGGTGGGGGAAGCGACGGTAGTAGGAGACGGACTCGTCAAAGGTGACGTCGCGAGAGTGAAAGAAGCGGTGAGACGGCGGGTGGTAAAAGTGCCAGTCAGACGCGTCAAGGGGAAAGCCGAGGAAGACGCAGGGAAGGGTGCGGGTAGTGAGCTTGTCCGTGCCGGAGGCACGGACGTGAGCAATGCAGCCCCAGACGTGGAACGCAGACGCGTCACTAGGAGACCCAGTCCAAAGACGGGTCGGCGAAACTTGCGGCTGCTGAGGGTGCGGGCACAAGTTAAGCTGGTGAGAAGCGTAGCGCACAGCGAACGGCCACCGAAAATGGGGTGCACCGGCATGCATCATGGAGGTGCGAGCCACCTCCATGACCAAACCGATGCGTCGCTCAGCGACCCCATTCTGCTGTGGGGAGTCCGGTAGGGTGAACGTCTGGGTGATGCCCTCCGCATGACAAAAGCGACCAAGGACACCTGAGGCAAACTCGCCACCACGGTCGGAGTGAAGACGCAAGACAGGGAGACCGCGGTGGACACGCGCAGAGACAAGCCAGGGGATGAGAGCGCCAGGCACGTCGGCCT